GTGAGTTGTAGTACTTACAGATTTTCGTTTAGATTTAATCCAAGTCCAAAAGCGTTTTGGATTTGTTCCAAGATCAGAAGAAATAGACTGTAAGTATGTTTCATATTTAAGATTAGAGAGTGTTTTAAAGTTTCTTCCGGCCTCCCGGAAATTTTGTTCAGATATTATTGATGGAAATTTTCTCAATATTTTATGATGATATTCTTTTGACTTTAAAGCTTTTATAAGTTCGGCGTCAAACCAAGGAGGACTTTTCTTCCGTAGTTTGGTAATGGGGACAAGGTCCCTGACAGCTGCACCAACAAGGTCATAAAATAAAGTAACATGTTCGTTAACGTCGTTCGTAAATTCAAGAATGTTCCAGGGAATTCTATTAAAAGTTTCAGTTAATTCACCAAAATTGGCTCGTCTGTAATTAAAATGATAACGATTATTATTTCTAAAATTAATATTATTATTATTATTACTATTTACAAATTGAAGTGATAATGAAATAGATTGATGGTCAGATACAAAAATACTCTCTCCTACAAAAATATTAGATATTATATTAGTGTTATTGCACAAAGCTAAGTCAAGGATTTTGTTATTGCACGTTTTAAACTTGTTACACTGAGTGATATTGTGTCCATGGATGACAGTGTCCATAAATAATTCACAAAATGAATTTGATGGTACACAATATGTTCCATCATTACTATTCCATGTAATATAGGGTAAGTTGAAATCACCAAGTATCAACAAGTTATGGTAAAGATAGCTTTCAATGGCCTTATTCAGTGCTTCAACAAACTGCGTTATTGATTCTCTGCCGGTATTCGGGGGCCTGCAGTAGACAGCTGCGAGAATTTTTTGGTTCCTTGAAATTAAAATCTCAACCCAGATTATTTCACTATTATTAGCATCTTCCAAATGTACTAGCCTACAATGCAGAAAAGCCATGTGGGAATGGGGTCCAGTAAACAAGTTCTATTAGGAATTTTAGAGATAATTTGGCTAATTTCTGTTTCATTTACTGGAGAAAATGTAACAAACCTATAAATATTATTATCATCTTCTTCATCGATAAGTGGTTGAACAAAATTTATGTCATTTTAAGGAGGGACCTCACCTACACTATTGACCATGTTAACAGGATTAGAAACCTAATCAAGCTCTAATCTAATTTTTGAAACTTTATCATTAAAATATGAATCAAAATTGTTACTAAGCTTTGCAACAGTAATGCTACTCGGCAAAGATACATTTGAGCTATTTAGAAGCAGCTTAAGATTACGGTACATAGACTTTGTATCAGTATTATGCAACACGTTTTTAAAATAATCAGTTTTCGATTGTACAGTTAATTCAGTTACAGCCTTATGTTTTTCAAGATATTTGATGCGGTCAGGATCACTACAAGATTTACGCCATTTACGCTCACACTGTCGACACTCTCTTCTAGCTGATCTTACGTTTTCGTTGAACCATTTAGGACATCTCTTGGTTCTTAGAGAATGAGTGACCTCTGGACAGTGCTTATCAAGAACTTTACGCACTCTGTTGTTATATTCAATTGCTTGAGTGTTAGGATCATTTTGAGTAACAAGATCCGCAAGCTTTTGAGTAAGGTTGTATTTAAATGCATCGATATCAAGATCTTTGAAGTTCCTTCTTGTGATTAGTTTCTTATCTAACACTGGCTTAAGCTTGTTAGCGGTACATTCTATCATGTAATGATCTGAACCATACATATTTGGAGAAACATTACATTTTACCAATAGATTTCCATCTACATGACCAATGTCAACAAATTGCTGAAGATCATGTTCAGAAAGCAGTGCAAGATAATTAGAGACAACACACTTTGAGGGATTGTCTACATGGAGATTCATATCACCCATGATTAACAGCTTACCAGGTAAACTGGTTACAACGGATAGAAAGTTTTCAAATTCATCCAAGAATGTGCACGTAGTAATTTAAACAACCATATGACAGCGCAGTATATACAGGAATTTATATACAGGAATGGGACATGTGGCAAATATATTGTTTAAGGTACCCTTTAATAAATAAAAGAAACATTAATTTGAACAATATATTATGTTTCTACAGACATTAGTGTCAGAAATATACAGTATGCAAATTCTGTGAATATTTATAGGGTCAAGGGTCAATTTTAGCATGTTGGTTATTTTGGGGCAAATGTTCCATTAGAGCAAATATAAACATGCATGTTTTGAAGAATTTAAAAAGGAAAGACACTGCATTTTTCATAATTTGAGACATAAATCATGTTTCTACTGATATTAGCCACAGAAATATTCTAATTCAGTGAATAAGAGGTCAAGGGTGAGTTGTAGCATTTCCGATCATTTTTAGGGCAAATTTTCTATTAGAGCGAATAGAAACATACATGTTCTGAATAATCTTAAAAAGAAAGCAACTTCCAGTGGTTGCCGAGATATGGGACCCTATATTTTCGTTCTGATTTGCATAATTAAGAGCTAATTTGAATATGAAAGTATATGTGACCATGGTGTGATTATAGATTTTCATCTTTTTTATTAATATAATGCAAGAAACATGCATTTGAGTAATTTGAGACCTAAATTAAATTTCTATGTACATTAGCCATGGAGATATGCAAATTCAGTAAATATACGGTCAGAGGTCAATTGTAGCATTTCCATTCATTTTTGAGGCAAATTTTCCATTAGAGCAAATAGAAACATGCATGTTCTGATTATTTTTGGATTAGAAAGCAACTCTCTGTGACCAGCGGTTGCCAAGATATGGGATTCCTATGTTTTCATTAATAATTTGCATAATTAAGAACTAATTTGCATATTAAGAGTATACGTCACCCTGGTGTGATAATAGAGTTTCATCCCTTCTATTAATATAATGTATAAAAAACATGCATTTGAATGATTTGAGACCTAAAGTAAGTTTCTATGTACATTAGCCACAGAGATAGTCAAATTCAGTGAATATAAGGTAAGAGGTCAATTGCAGCCTTTCCGTTAATTTTTGAGGCAAATTTACTGCAAATAGAAATATGCATATGATTAATTTGAAACAGAAAGAAACTCCCTGCGACCAGCGGTTGCCAAGATATGAGAACTCAATATTTTCAACATAATTTGCATATTTTAGTTAATTTGTGTCCCAAGGTGTGATTTCTGGAATTTCATCCGCTCATCATATGTATTTGATTAAAAAAGAAAATTTGTTTGACTTCAAATGCTAGATTGCCTAGCCTATATCATATTTGTGTTGTATTGTATTCTGATGTCCAACTTTTTAATCTTTGTTTATTTATTTATTCATTTATGCTAAAAAAAAGACATCAAATCCAATAAATAATGTTTACTATTTTATAAATTTTCTAATTTTTTTGTTCTTTTCCTTTTCTCCCTTTTCTTTTCCTTTCCATTCATTTCTCTTCCCTTTCATTTCTTTCATTATTTTTGGCCTTCCTTTTTTATTTCCCTTCCTTTATTATCCTTTCTTTTTCTTCCTTTTCCATTATTTTTATTCCTTTTTCTTTCTTATCTTTCAATATTTACTTTTACTCCTTTCCTATCTATTTTCTTTTCCTTGAAATTCAATATGGTGACTTTTTGATATAACTTATGATGGCTGCATAATACTCCTTGATTATATCGAAATGGTCTTTGGGTAATGGTCTTTGATTGACAGTGATAGGTACTGTAGATATAAATATATTGACAAAAATATCAAACATTTTGTAGCTAACTTGAAATCCAATGGGACATATTTTGTGATGATACGTAAAGATCTTCAATGAGTAGGGATATGTGCTGTAGATTATAAATTAATTAATTTTGGCGGCCATACTGGATTTCAAAATGGCCACCGCTAAGATGCATTATTTGCTGGGGTCTATTGCTTTTAATGATCCTTATGTATCATAGTATCACTGTGGGAAGTTCATGCTTTCCTGTAAAAGTGCACGATTCTACCTGATATTCAACCTTAGCTGCTTTACTATACTTAATTTTGACTATAGTTTGTTTGTGTGTTTGTTTCTTGCAGGAAAAAACTCTAAGAAGCTTGAAAAGAAAAACTCTAGTAAGCGCAAGTCTTTGAAACGAGAGCCCACATTTAAAGGAGCACCACCTGATGAGAAATTTGATACTATTGAAACTGAAAATGAAAGCACAATTACTAACTATTCCAGAAACATTGATTCACAAATTTTTGCTGCATTATACTGCGAATGCAATGAAACTAAAAATGATGAACAAATGTGGTTAGACAGGGTTGATAGCATGAACGACTCAACTTTACGCGATGTGTCGTCTACTAACCTGTCATGCACATCTGATAATGTCTTTGAAACAAAGTCTCATGTGCCACATCAACAGCCTGACTTGCGAGAAGATAACACAAATGGGGGATCAGATGCCAATGAGAAAGAGGACAACAAGGAACTGAATGAAGAACAAACAACAGAAGAGGAGACCCCAGAAATGTTTGCGTCTTTGGAACACAGCTTCTTACATAAATATTTACGACCAGGCTCTTGCAGCTCCCTTGCATTAACACCTAAGCAAAATCCAGAAATACCTGGAGTGAAGCGTAGGTGTTCCTGTGTTGATTTTAGGCAATTTGATAAACCTGAAACCCAAGAAGAAAAGAACAAACCAGCAAAGGAAACATTACACTATAGCCTGAGAAAACATCAACCAGTTGGGCAAAGATATTGCATGGATGCAAGGCTAAACAAAATAACTCACTCAGAATCTCTGCCTAACATCCAACAACAGCCAGTCAGAAAACACAAAGAGAAAGAGAAATTTTATTCACTTAGAACAAAACGCAAACAGAAGTTGCATTCAGGTCTTGCGCATCCTACACTATCTTCTCTTATGAAGCCGATTGATATGAAGATTCAGAACTCAGCAACAGCAATTCGTCTTGCAACTTACGGCAAAATTAAAGGAAGCAGTCGTGAAGATTTAACAACTGGGATATCTGAAGTATCTGACGAAGACACACGTTCGTTAGATTGGACAGACTCTGCTCATAGTCGAAAAAAATTATTGTCTTCTTCCAGTACCAAAAGTATAGAAGCATTAAAGCGTAGCCAGAAATCTATTAAAAAGAAGAGTAAACCAACAGACGATTCGCAAGACCTGTCAGATATTGCTGAAATTGACTCAATCAATAGTGAAGATGGTTTACAACAGCGAACAATAACAGAAGCTGATATTCCCATTACGCCTGTCTTAATCTTCTTCTTCAGTTATGTAATTCTTGGTGCTGTAATGTTCTATTTTCTGGAAAAAGGTTGGAACCTACCAAATGCAATATATTTCTGTTTTATTACATTAACCACTATTGGGTTTGGTGACTATGTACCTGATAGTTCCCTGTACAGTCTTATTGCCTGCTGCATATACACAGCTGTTGGGATGGCAATAACCTCTATGTGCATAGCCTTAATTATGAAAAAGTTTGTATTGCAAGTGAAAAAGCTAGGAAGAAAAATTGGTATACTAAAAGATGAAGTAGATGTGTAAGGAAGAGTATTGCCTTGAAAACTTGGAAGAGTATTCTGCAAAAGTTATTAACAATCTTAAGAGAATATTTATAAAAAGCCTATTGGTAGTTATTCAATAATTAAATCAGTGGTTTATGTCACTATTTAATCAAAATCAAGTTAAGATGAACTAATCAAAAGAATTGTATCAATTAAGAGGGCATTAAAGAACTATATATATATATATATATATATATATATATATATATA